CCCTCCCCTTGGGGTTGTACTTTTGCTTTGCTAATAAATCTTCCTCTGTTAAAACTTCTGCTGTGTGTCCACTCTCAAATTGTTTTGTGTCTGTGAACCAAGAACCTGGGACCACGCCACACCGAGCTGACCTGTGCGGGTAACAAAGTGATCCCCCAACGCTAGAATTTTAGGAAAGCCATGGTGATCTTTCCCAAAGCTTCTTCCCCACCATGAACATGGACCAAGGACCTATAGATCACCTCCCAGTACATTGTTTCATTTACTTTTGACAAAAGACGTCTCGACCTCCAGTAACCTTGTTATTTCAATCAGTTTTTTGCACAAGCAAATTTTAGGGCAACAAAGAATCTGAATGGCCTTATGAGGTATTCTTAAGTAACAGTGGGCTTGTTACTTAAGAACAGTAAGTAAGAACAATTACTTAAGAATTACTCAATGGGAATATGGGTCTCATTCAACATTTGAAGCAGTACCTGTCCTCCAGGTAAGACACAGGCCCCAACTCTGCAGAGCGATTACCTGGGGACGCCACCCTTCTTCCCCATATTTTACCTTCCCTATCCCTAACCTTAACATGATGGCATATATTTGGCTTTTGTTTAAGAAGGTTGTTGTTGGTTTTTTGTTTTTAAGAATTATTTTTGAATTCCTTTCCTGATAAAACTGTTGGTGGACTTGGTGTTGAGAAAACCCACTGATTGTTTTGTCAAGAGAGAGGTTCACAGACACAGAGCTGGCTGGAAAGCAGAAAGCAAATCGCCTGAGGTAGATGCGAGGCTGTAGAAATGCAGATCTGGGCCTTCCTCGCTTCACACTGCTCATGTAAGATGAGAGGTGCAGACCCAGAAGAGTACATCTCTGTGGTTCAGAAAAAGAAGACTGACTCCCTGGGGCATCTCACCTGTAGAGGGTCAGCTGTTTGTCTACAGTGGCCCCACAAATGATTTAACCCATCAAACTCAGAGTGGAGACTTCATCATTATCGCCTTGGGTCCAATCCAATGTCACTGTACCTCAGAACAGCACAGATATAATGCTACTGAGAGAGACTTGAGATAAAAGTAATACATTTTCTAAATGAGCAGCGGGGGTGGGGGAGTAGGCTAAAACATCATACAGCTGTTTTAGAAAGTTAGTAGCAAGTTTTTTGTTTTGGTTTGTTTGTTTGCTTGTTTTCCAAAAGGCTGGGAGCAAGATTCACTGAGGTGGTCAGAGGGCAGGTGAACAATGAGTATAATATGTATCCGCAGGTCTACTGTACAATGAAGACAAACTCGCCCAATTGTTACAAAGACCTATTGGAGCAGAGATTGATAAAAATTATTGTCAGACAGAAATACAGTGTCACAGAAATTGATAGGACCAGTCTTGAGGGCATACAGTTATGTGTCTTTGTATGTCTAATGTATGAACTGGAAGATCAAAGGTGAAGCCCTGTTACGCCCCCAGGGAATCATGGGCCTGACACAGACTCCACGGGGCACCTACTCTCAGCTTCTCCTCTCAGAGCTCTATGTTCTTGTGGGCACAGCTCTAAAAACATTTACATGTTTTTGAAAAATGTTAACAGTTCAGTTCAGGGGCAAACTTATAGACCCATACAGTCTAAAATAAAAGGATTTTCTACGAACATAAGCAGCTTAGAATTCCTACCATTATGTCAAGTACTTGTTTCTGAAAAGTAAATAAGATCAGAATTAAGAGCTGGTGATCAAAGGGACATAGCATTATTTATAGTTTCCTACAATAGCAGGGGCTGGAAGTCCTATTATTGCTGCTCAGAAATGAAGACCATACGATTAGAGATGGTTTCTTTGATCATTTCTCTAAAGCAATCCCGTTGTCAGTGGATGGCTTCCCAGAAGTTAGTGTAAACCAGCCCAGAAAACACATCACAAAAGGACATTCGGTATGGCTTTACTCTGAACAGACTTCAAAAAGTCTTGCTAACAACCGTTTCCGACTCAGCTGGGCTCCGGGTATGACTAACTCTGGCACGGATGGTGGCCAGGCCGAGGGGCTGATGTTTCTCTGTGGCCAGCTTTGGGTTAGGGCTATACCAAAGGGCACATCAAAAGCTTCTCTCAGTTTTCCCCTTGAAGAAATATATAAACTATAAGAAACTGAGAAAATCTCACAGTTGAAAAAAATCATGGCTGTCCCATCACGGGTTGTTCGGATCTGCTGAACTGCTTCATTTTCACCCAACCTCCATTTTTACACGCACTTGTTGACCAGAAGTAGAGACAGTCACTAGTATCTGCTCAGCATATCAGATTTGTCCCAGGAAGCGCCAAAGGAGCTCTCTTTTACTCATCCACATGTAACTTGTCACCTGTGTAGGTGGCCTGTAGTGATCTAGAGGCCTCCTGCTACTGATTTATGGCCAGATTCTGAGCCAACAGCCACAAGGGCAAGTCTTCAAGAGGCTGTGGCAGCACTGGAGATTCTGTTCATGTCTATGTATGTACGGGTTTATGGGTACATCTCTTACAACTGTACCCCAAAGCCAATTCTAAATGAAGCATGATACAGCCACGCCAAAGGGAATCCATTGTTGATACTTCTTATGGGTTGAATTGTAACCCTTCAAAAAAATATGTTGGAGTCCTAACCCCCAATACCTCAGAATGTGACCTTATTTGGAAGAAATATCTCTTTATAGAGATAATCAAGTTAAAATGGGGTCATGAGGGTGAGACCTAATCCATTATGTCTGATATCCTTATAAAAGGGAGAAATATGGACAAGATACACATAGAGGGAAGACGGGATGAAGAGATGCAGAAAGCAGATGTCCATCTACCAGCCAAGGAGAGAGGCCTGGGTCGGATCCTTGCCTCAGAGCCCTCAGAAGGAAGGAACACTAACAACACTTTGACTTCGTACTTCTAGCCTCCAGAACTGTGAGACAGGAAATTTCTGTTGTTAAGCTACATAATTTATGGTATTTGTTATGGCAGCCCTAGCAAACTAATGCAATACTTAATTCATCAATTTGTAAACATCTTGCCAGTTAAACCAATATTCTAATACTCAGGTATTGATAAGTGTTTCTGAGCTTTCTCCTTCATTTCCTCAGTATGCATTCGTGGAGAAAGCTTCAAAGAGAAACTCTAGACCATGCAGACTCATTGACTGAACTCCAGGGAAGGTGGCTGGTGGAAAACTGGAAAGGAAAAGGTGAGTTTCTGGCAGAGAGTGGGATAGACAAAAAGCCATTGGTGGAGGCCTGACTGTTCTTGGGGCAGGAGGAAAGTACGAAGGCCATGGGTTGTGATCTGGCTTGGAGCCTGGACCAGAGCAGTTTAACTCCAAGAAACAGTGAAGTTTCTGCTGCACGTAGGAAGGAAAGTGCTAGTGAAGGCCACCTGGGAGTGAGAAGACAGGTGGGCCCCTTCCAGCGCCTGATGGAGAAGCCCCGGGCCCCAACACCAGGCTGCGGGCAAATGGTGAGCAGGGGGTGCTGGGCACAGAGCAGGTGCACCTGGCATGGCAGTGGGGGGGATGACGAGGATGTGCAGAGCGCCTGGGGTAAGCACTAAGACACCTGGAAGTCAAAGGCACACAGGACATGACAGTCTGCAAAATAAGAGGTGTGTTCTCTTCTTTCCAAGCTCCAGAAAGACCTGAGTTTACCCCATTCCTGGAACTTGCTGGGATGTTCTCTTCACCTGAAGTCTCAGTTTTCTCATCTTGAAAAGGAGAGTAACAATAGTGTGTTTCTCATCGTGTGTTGTGAGGATTGAATGCGATAATGCCTATCTGGCATGTGGTAACACTCAGTAAATGCAGGCTAAATAAGAGAGAGATCCCCCAAACCAGCATTACGTGATCTACAAGCTTCCTATTTTATATTGCATTTGGTAGAGTAGCGTTTGAATTAATGGTATAGATAATAAATTGCCATGTGCAGAAAACATCTCAAGTCAGAGCTAGCATGGGTTATCAAGAACGTCTGTTTCTTTGTGTGGGCATTATCAAACCCCAGACCAATTCAAGGCTACCCTGGTGTCTCTGCAGCATTCACGGAGGTGTGTGCTAACTGTGGCTGTCCACGGATGCTGAGATGGCGAGATTTATTCCTCTTCTCAGCAAGTACTTATTGTGCCCCCTCCTTTGCCAGGCAGTGCTGTAGGCCCCAGTGCACCCCTGCCCGCCTGTCTTGGGGCTGGTGTCCTAGCAGAGGGGGATGGCCAACAACAGAGTCATGGTGAAATGAGCCAGCATGTCGTTTCAGACAAGAGTGAAGGGTGTTAGGAGGAAGTGCTGAGAAAATAATGTAATATTCCAACTGTGCCAAGTGACAAAGCGAGAGACACAAACTCCAGCCAGGAACCTCTGAAGGCAAGGCAGCTCCACAGATCCAAATAAAATGGGTTTGGGGGCATATCTGCCTGGAACTGGGCTCTGGGGAGTTGTCTCAAGTTATAGATCCATATCAAGAATGCTGTCCTGATACCTTTGTTTCTATGCCTATATTATTACTGAACTATGTTTCTTTGGGGTGATTTGAGGGGTGGGTGGATGGAGAACATATGGAGGATCTGAGCAGAAGAGAGTGGCCAACCATTACCACCTTCCCGGGCCCTGCAGTGGGCCGTGATCCCTCAGCACTGCCCTGTGTGAAGGAGAGATTAATATGCTAGAAGAGCCTGGACTTAAAAAAAAAGGAAAAGAGAGAAGAGGAGAGGATGGGAGGGGAAGGGAGGGGAGAGAAGAGAAAAGAAAAGAAAAGAGAATATTCAGTTGCCTATATACATTTCCACTGTGGACCTTGTTCTCATGTCCTCACTTTCTTTTTAATAATAACTCTACTGAGATACGAGTCAAATACCACACAATCCACCCTTTTAAAGTATACAATTGAATGGTTTTTAGAACATTCACAGAGTTGTACAACCATCACCACTATCAATTTGAGAATATTTTCATCACCCCAAAAAGAAATTCTGTACTCATTGATACTCACTTCCCATCTCGCCCCAGCACCCCCAGCCCCTAGCCCTAGGCAACCACTAACCTATGTTCTATCTCTATGGGTTTACCTATTCTGCACATTTCACATAAATGCAATCACACAACGTGTGGTCTTGTGTGACTGGCTTCTTTCCCTTAGCGTGTTTTCAAGGCTCATCCATGTCATAGCATGTATTAGTGCTTCATTCTTTTTCATGACTGAATAATATTCTGTTGTATGGATGGACCACATTTTGTCTAATCACTCATCAGTTGATGGATTGGCTGCCTCACATTTAATTCCTCATCTTATTGACCTGGTATGATCCACCTTTTCTGTTTCCTCAGCCCTCTACCCTGTTCCTAGACTCCTGTTGCACAGAAGCTTGCAGGAAGGGAGTGTGGATGGAGGGTCAAGGAGGCAGGGGGGCTGGAGGTCACAGATAGCAGAGGTCAGATGCAGAGTCCTCAAATTCTTTTCCTCTCTGGCCTTATACTCTTCTCCCCTTGCCAATCCTAACCCTAGAAAACACCATCTCTTACTCCCAGTTGCAAGAGTTTCTGGAGAGAATCATCTGACCATGCAGACAGCCTCCACCCAGATTCCTGCCGCCAGCTCAGTCTCTGCAGCAGCCTTTCCAAGCCTTTGCTGCAGTTTCTGAGCATCCATCCATGTTCTCCCCCTTTATTAGTTATCTTTTAGCTCCCTTCGCACATGGATTGTCTCTACCACTCCCCTGATGATCCCCACCCTATCTCCATAGTGGTGCTTCTTGAGGATGGATCCAGACCTTACCCATCTTGGCACCCATAGCACCTGGCACATGTCCTTTCCTATGGCAGGTACAGAGCTCGGCTGCACCACTATTTCCCCTTTGGATCTGAGAGACCGAGAGGTCTGTGCCCCACTGCTGGGAGTGCTGCCATTGTCATCCCCCTCCTGTCCCCCCCCAGGCATTGCCCTCAGCTGAAGGGACCCACCCTGACCAAGGCCATGGGAGCAGCCTACATCCAGTGATGTCATGCAATAGGAAGGCCCCCCCAACCCCAATTTGAGTCAACTGTGAAGGGCCATTCCAGCTCCAGAGATACTCCCCTGGGGTCAGTTGATGCCTTTGTTGAGAGAGCACCAAAACCCAAGTTCTCCCTCTGCCCATCCAGTGACCTGCCCTCCCTGTCGTGTCATGCTGATGCCACTCCCTAGGAAATGTCCTGCTGCCTGGGAAGCCTGACTGCCACAGCCATTTTAAAATGTGACTTTGGTGAAAGGTGTTGATTAAACAATTTATAATTCAGAAAGAAAAACTTTTCTCGTAAATAAAATTATATTCATTATCACTTAGCTAAAATAGCCAGTTAATTTACAAATTTTACTGTTCCACTGGCTTGAAGATCAATTTAGCCTTTTTTTTAAACATTCCAGTTTATTTACATTTGTGAATATGGAAATGTTTAATTCAGATCTCTCCTTATAAAATAAATAGTGATGGAAAACCTGAAAAGGAAAAGAAAAAAACTTAACTGCTAAGAAAACTTAAGACTTTACCCTATTAATTATTTTTGTGAGAGATAATTTTTCACACAAGATTAAACATAATATTCATGTTCTGTTTAAATAATAAAACAAATACCCATGTATCTTCCAAAAAGCTTAAGAAATAGAATATCTTCAATAACATAGATTGAAGTTTCTTTGTGCTTTCTCTGTTGATATCACCCTCCAACCCAATTCACTGCTATCATCAATATTTTGGTAATCATTTTTTTTAATTTCCAGGTAGATAGATAGATAGTTGGATAGATAGATAGATACATGATAGATGGAGATAGATAGATAGAGGTAAATATAGATATATAAACATGTACACACATAGTATAGTTTTCAGGTTTTGTTTTTCCTCTGTACTTTATTTATTTTTTGGTGAGTCCACCTTCATTCTTTTGCATATGGGTTTACAGTTCTTCCAACATTATTTGTTGAAGAGACTATGTTTCCCCTTTGAATTGCATTGGCACCCTTGTTGAAAACTCATTGGCCATAGATATATGGTTTTATTTCTGGACTTTCAATTCTGGTCCAGTCTATATGTCTAGTCTATATGTCTATCTTTATGCCAGTACCACACTGTTTTGATCACTGTAGGTTTATACAGTAAGGTTTTAAAACGGGAAATATGAATCTTCTCTTTCAGGATGTTTTTGGAGGGAGGCTATTCTGGGTCCCTTGCAATTCCATATGAATTTGAGGATTGACTTTTCCACTTTTCAAAAAAAAGACATTGAAATTTTAATAGAAATTTCACCAAATCTGTAGATAGCTTTGAGGAGTATTGCTATCTTAACAATATTAAGTCTCCTAATCCATGAACATGGGATATCTTTCCATTTATTTATGTCTTTAATTTCTTTCAGCACTGTTGTGTAGTTTTCAGTGTGTAAGACTTTCACCTCCCTGGTTAAATTTATTCCTAGGTAATTTATTCTTTTGAATGCTATTATAAATGGAATTGTTTTCTTAATTTTCTTTTTAGATTGTTCATTGTCAGTGTACAGAAATACAACTGACTTTTGCATGTTGATCCTGTATCCTGCAACTTTACTGAATTTATTAATTATCTCTAATAGCTTTTTGTGGATTTGGGGGAGTTTTATATATATAAGATCATGTCATCTGTGAATAGAGATACTTTTCCTTTTCCTTTTCCCATTAGGATACCTCTAATTTTTTTTTCTTGCCTAACTTCTCTGGTTAGAACTTTTAACACGACATCGAATAGAAGTGATAAAAGTGGGCATCCTTGTCTTGTTCCTGATCTTAGGGGAGATTTTTTTCAGTCTTTTTACTATTGAATATGATGTTAGCTGTGGGTTTTTCATAAGTATTTAACCAGATTGAGGAAGTACCTTTATATTCCTAGTTTGTTTTAATGATTTTTATCATGAAATGGTGTTGAATTTTGTCAAATGCCTTTTTTTAATCAATTGAGATGATCATGAGTGGTTATTTTTCCCCCTCCTATTTTATCAATATGGTGTATTACATTGATTATCAGCCACTGAACTATCCTTGCATTCCTGGGACAAATCCCTTCTGATTATGATGTTTTAATATGCTACTAGATTCTGTTTGCTAGTATGTTATTGACTTTTGCATCTATATTCAAAAGTGATATTTGTCTATAGATTATTTTTTCTTTTGATGTCTTTGTCTAGCCTTGGTATCAGGGTAATACTGGCCTCATAAGATGTTTGGGAAGTGTTCCTTCCTCTTCAATTTTTTGGAAGAATTTGAGAAGAATTGATGATATTTCTTCTTTAAGTGATAAGTAGAATTCACCAGTGAAGCCATCTGGTTCTGGACTTTTGGGGGGAGGTTTTTGATTACTGATGCATCCTCTTTACTTATCATAGAACTCTTCATATTTTCTATTTATTCATTATCTAATTTGTCAGCATAAATTATTCATAGTATTCTCCTATAATCTATTTTATTTCTATAAGGTCAGTAGTAATGGCCCCACTTGCATTTCTGATTTAGTATTTTGAGTCTTCTCTGTTTGTTCTTAGTCAACTTGGCTAAAGTTTTGTCAATTTTGTTGATCTTTTTAAATAAACTACTTTTGATTTCATTAATTTTCTCTATTTTTTTCTATTCTCTATTTTATTTATCTCCACTCTATTCTTCAATATTTCCTTCCTTCTACTATCTTTGAGTTTGGTTGATTCTTCTTTTTCTAGTTTCTTATGGTGTAAAGTTAGGTTATTGATTTGAGATCTTTCTTCTTTTTAATGTAGGTGTGTATGGCTACAAATTTTCATGTAAGCACTGCTTTTACTGCATCCTGTAATTTGGTATGTTGTAAACACATGTTTTCATTTGCCTCTAGGTATTTTCTGATTTCCTTAGAAATTTTTTCTTTGACCTATTTGTTGTTTAAGAGTGTGTTGTTTAATTTCTATATATTTGTGAATTTTTCATTTTTCCTTCTGCTTTTGATATCTAGTTTTATTCTATTGTGGCCAAAGAAGATTCCAATCTTTAAAATTTTTTGGTAAATTTTGGAATGTTGTGTTTTCATTTTCATTCATCTCTAAGTATTTTCTAATTTTCATTATGATATTTTTTCTTTGATCCGTTGGTTGTTTAAGACTATATTGTTTCATTTCCACAAATCTGTGAATTTTCCAGTTTTCCTTCTGTTATTGATTTCTAACTTTATCTCACTGTAGTTGAAGAAGATACTATGGTATGATATCTATCTTTTTAAATCTATTGAGACTTAACTTGTGACCTAACATATGGTCCACCCTGGAAAATGTCCTATGTGCATTCTTTTGATTGGAGAGTTTACTCCATTTACATTTAAAATAATAACAGAGGGACTTACTTCCATCATTTTGCTATTTGATTTCCATGTGTCTTATAGCTTTTTTGTTCCTCATTTCCTGTATTACTGTCTTCTTTTGTGTTTAGTTGATTTTTTGTAGTGAAATGTTTAAACATTTTTCTCATTCTGTTTTGTGTATATTCTGTAGCTATATTCTTGGTGGTTACCATGGTGATTACATTTAGCATCCTAAAGTTATAACACTCTAATTCGAGTTTACATCAGCTTAACTTCAATAACATGCAAAAACTCCTCTCTTTTACATCACTGTCTCCACGTGTTTTGGTTGTTGATATCTCCCAAATTACATCTTTATGTATTATGTGCCCCAAATCATAAACTAATAATTCTTTTAAATGCATTGGTCTCTTAAATTATGTAGAAAACAAATGTGGAGCTGGAAATAAAAGGTACAATAATACTAGGTTTTAGATTAGTAATTGTTTTTATTTTAACGTATTAGTCTCTTAAATTTTTCTTTTAGCTCTTTAAACATATTGGCCCATTACTTTCTGGATTCCAAGTATCTGATGAGAAATCTGCTGATAATCTTATTGAAGATCCTGTGTTTGTGACAATTTCTTTCTCTCTTGCTGCTTTCAAGATTCTCTCTTTGCTTTTGAAATGTTGATTATAATTTGTTTAAGTGTGAGTCTCTTTAAGTTCATTTTACTTGGAGTTCATTGAGATTCTTGGATGTTTATATTCATGTCTTTCATCAAATTTGGCCAGTTTTTAGCCATTATTTCTTCAAGTATTCTCTCTGCCCCTTTCTGTCTCTCTTCTCCTGGGATTTCCACAATGAGTATATTGATACTTTTGATGGTATCCCATAGGTCTCTTTGCTCTGTTCACTTTTTTTCTTTTTTCTCTGTGTTCTTCGGACTCAATAATTTTCATTGCCCTATCTCCAAGTTTGCTGAGTCTTTCTTCTGACTTCTCAAATCTGCTTTTGAAACTCTGTAGTGAATTTTTCATTTCAGTTATTTTACCTTTCATTTCCAGAATCCTTTTTTGGTTTCTTTTTAGGATTTCTCTCTTTAGAAATATTTTCAGTATGCTCATACATTGTTTTCTTGACTATTTACATCTCTTCCTTTAGTTCTTCAGCATCTTTAAGACACTTGTTTTAAATTTTTTGTCTAATGTATCTGCCATTAGGTCTTTCTGAGACAGTTTCTGTTGATTTATTTGTTTTCTTTGTATGGGCCTTACTTTCCTGTTTCTTTGTATGCTTTGTGATTTTTTGTTGAAGACTAGACATTTGAATTTAATAATGAGATAAATCTAGAAATCAGATTATCCCCCTTCCTCAGAGTTTGCTGTTTTTCATTATTTTGTTTATCGTTTTTGGGTTTTGGTTGTGTAAGGTGTGTCTGTGCTGAGAATCAACCTGATGTGTAAACTTAAAGTTTTCTCAAGTTTTTTTTTGAGCCTTTCCTTAGGCATGTATGGTCACTTTTCAATTTTCTCTATATGTGGTGTGTTTTTGAATATTCCAGTCTTTAATTTCTAGCTCCCAAAAGAGGAAAAAGAGAAAAATGAAGAGGGAGGGGAAGGATGCCATCCCTTTAAATCCCCTGGAAATCACTTCAGTTGGAGGGGTAGGGGCTTGCAACAATGAGAGGAGGTGCAGCAAGAATGGCTTCCTGCCTCTGTCTGCGCCTTTGTGATTGGAAGTAGCAAGCAGCAATTGAAGCATAGTTCCCTGATATTTAGAAGACAAGCTCCTTTTTGCTCACCCTGGCTACCACTAGCTGCATGCAAGCTGCCCCAGGAACATGTGCATAGCTACCTTCCACATTGCTGGAGATGAAGGATGGGTAGTTGGTACTGTGCTAATAGCTGAAAATGACGAAAAGTAACTGTCCAAATTTTCCCGTGGAAAGTGCAAGCCTTCAATAGTCTCTAGAGTTCCAAAATAGTCACATCAGCTAGATTATGCCAGTGCAATTGTCTAGATGGGGACAGAGATTCCTGGTGCTACCTACTGTGCCATTTTCCCATAATCCCTCAGACATTATTTCTTTAAATATCCTTTCTGCCCCCCTTTCTGTTTCCACTCCTTTTGATATTCCTGTTATGCATATGTTGGTATACTTGATGGTGTCCCACAGGATTCCTTGGCTCGGTTCATTTTTCCTCATTCTTCTTTCATTCTGCTCTTCAGACTGGATCGTTTCAACTGACTGTCCTTAAGTTTGCTGGTTCTTTCTTTTGCCTACTCAAATGTACTATAGAAATCTGGTAGTGGATTTTTCATTTCAGTTATTATACTTTTTAGCTCCAGAATTTCTAATTTGTTACTTTTAAAAATAATTTCTATCTATTAGTAGTCTGTGTTTGTGGGACATTGTTCTCCTGGTGTCCTTTCACCCTTTGTCCATGGTTTCCTTCAGTATATATTTAAGATAGTTTATTTAATGTATTTGTCTACTACGTCCAATGTCTGTGCTCTCTCAGGAAACATTTCTGTTAATTTCTCCTGTGAATAGACCTTATATTTTATTGTTTCTTTGCCTACTTCATACTTTTTTATTGAAAACTAGACATTTTGAATATTATAATTTATTAACTCTGGATATCATATTCTTTCTACCTTTTCAGGATTTGTTTTTGTTGTTTTCCACAGGTTGTAGTTGTTTGTTTATTGACTTTTCTAAACTGTTCTGGTAAAGTGTGTGTTCTCTGTTATGTGTACTCTCTGAAGTCTCTGTTCCTTTAGCTTGTGGTCACCTAGTGTTGTGAAAGATATTTCCTTGAACATCTGAAGCCAAAAAAGAAAGGAAGGGAGGGAGGGAGGAAGGAAAGAAGGTTTCCCAGTTTTTTCAGATTGTCTATGTGTTGGGGGACTGAACTTTAATGTTCAGTCAGCCTGTTTACAACTCTGCCTTATCCTTCACTTCCTGCCTCTGCTGAGGTGTTTTTAAGTTGCCTTTTTCTTGATTCAGTGTTCACTTAGTTCCTGTAAACTTTTAACTATTTTCTAGAGTTCTGACAAAGTTGTTTCAGTTTTTGCTCAATTTTTAAGTATTTAATCTGTTAAATATACTAAAAAAAACTACTAGAAGCAATAAATGAGTTCAGCAAGATTGCATAATACAAGATCAATATACAAAAATTCATTGTATTTCTACACATTTGCAATGAGCAACCTAAAAGTAAAAGTAAGAAAACAGTTGCATTCACAAGAGCATCAAACAGTTTACAATGCTTAAGAAGTAATTTGACAAGTACTGAATTCATACACTGAAACCTACAAAACATTGCTGAAAGAAATTAAAGAAGATCTAAATAAATGGAAAACAATTTCGTGTTCATGGATTGGAAGACTTAGCATTGTTAAGATGGTGGTACTCCCCCACATTGACCAATGCAATCCCTATCAGAATCCCAGCTGACTTTTTTGTAGAAATCAACAAGGTGAATGCAAAATTTACATTTGATTTCAAGGGATCCAGAATAGCCAAAAGATACTGAAAATGAACAAAGTAGGAGAACACATACTTCTGATTTCAAAACTTACTACAAAGCAACAGTAATCAAGATATCTTTCTACTGGCATAAGGATAGACATACATCTGAATGCAATAGAATTGAGAGTCCAGAAATAAACCCATGCATCTATGGTCAACAAATTTTTGACAATTGTCTCAAGACCATTCAATGAAGAAAAGAACAATCTTTTCAACAAATGATTCTGGGGAAACTAGATAACCAAAGCAAAAGAATAAAGTTGGATCCTTCCCTCATACCATATGCAAAAATTAACTCAAAATGGATTAGCAACCTAAATGTAACAGCTAAAACTATACAAATCTTAGGAAAAAAACATAGGAGAAAATCTTCATGACCTCATATCTGCAAAAGGATTTTTAGATATGACATCAAAAGCATGAGCAACAAAAGAGAAAGTAGATAGATTGGGCATCATCAAAATTAAAAACTATTGGGGGCTGGCTCCGTAGCATAGCGGTTAAGTGCGTGTGCTCTGCTGCTGGTGGCCCAGGTTCGGATCCTGGGCATGCACCAAGGCACTGCTTGTCAGGCCGTGCTGTGGTGGCATCCCATATAAAGTGGAGGAAGATGGGCACAGATGTTAGCTTAGGGCCAGTCTTCCTCAGCAAAAGGAGGAGAATTGGCATGGATGTTAGCTCAGGGCTGATCTTCCTCACAAAACAATTAAAAAATTAAAAACTTTTGTGCTTCAAAGGGTACCATAAAGAAAGTGAAAAGACCATGAACAAAATGGAAAAAAAAATTGCAAATCAGATATCTGATAAGAGATAAATATCCAGATTATATAAAAAACACTTGTAATTCAATATTAAAAAGACAACCCATTTAAAAAATGGGATAAAAATCTGAATAGCCATTTCTCCAAAGAAGACATACAAATGGTCAATAAACAAATGAAAGAAGCTTGAACTTATTAGTCATCAGAGAAATGAAATCAAAACCATAATAAGAGATCACTTTACACCCATAGGATGGTTAGAATCAAAAAGTCAGATAATAAAAAGTGTTGGTGAGCATGTGGAGAAATCAGAACACTCATACACTGCTAGTGTGAATGTAAAGTGGCACAGCCACTTTGGAAAACAGTCTGGCCTTAATTCAAGAGGTTAAATATAGAGTTACCATATGATGCAGGATGTCTGCCCTTAGGTGTATAACCCAAGAGAAATGCAAATGTATGTCCACACAAAAACATATATGTGCATGCTTATAATAGTATTATTTATAATAGCCAAAAGTGGAAACAACCTACATGTCTATCAACTGATGAATAGATAAACAAATTATGGCATATCCATAAAATAAAATATTATTTGGCCATAAGAAGGAGTGAGAGAAGAGGTGGTCCAAGATGGCAATGAAGAGAGATCCTGAACTTACCTCCTCCCATGGACACACTGAATCTGCAGGTACATATGGAAGAATTCCCTCTGTAAAAGACATGAAAACTGACTGAACAGCTCCTTCAAAACAAAAGATAAAAGGACCACACCAAGATGGGTAAGACAGACTGAGATGCAGTCTTGCCAAAAACCTGACCCTCAGCATAGTGACCCATAGTTGAGAGAGATCTCACAAATCTGGAGCTTCTCCCTGGGGAATGAAGAGTTCATACCCCACATCAGGCACCCCAACCTTTAAGACCTGCACTGAAGAGATGAGCCCCACAAACATCTGGCTTTGAATAACAACAAGGATTACAACCAAGAGACCCAAAGGACTGTAAGGAACTTAGATATTGCTCTTAAAAGGCTTGCACACTGAGTCCTTCACCCCAGGTCCCAGTGCAAAAGCAGCAGCTCGAAAAGTGTCTAGACTTTATGTGAAGAAGATTTATTTCCTAATCTTAAAGCATCTGCCAGATGAGCAGGTGCCTGTTAGGATTCTTTCCTGGGACAGAGGTGCTGGCAGTCACCACTATTATGCTCTCTCTCTACTTTGCTAGTGCCAATGGGCATGCACAGTCCCTGTGCTCTCCCACTGCCCTGCTAAAGTTGGCACACCCTCAATAACTGGGACCTATTAATAATAAATAAGGCTGCTTGGACAATCACAAAAGTTTAAGGGACAACCACGAGGTAGGACAAGGTTAAACAATAAATTCCATTATTTATACAAAGCCCCTCCTTCAAGACTGGGAGAGGGAGTAGTTTATCCTAATGCATAGAAACAAACACAGAGATTCAAGCAAAATGAGGAAACAAGAGAATAAGTTCCAAATGAAAGAACAAGATAAAACCCCTGAAAACAAACTTAATGAAATAGAGATAAGTAATATACCTAATAAAGAGTTCAAAGTAATGGTCATAAAGATGCTTACTGAACTTGAGAGAAGAATGGATGAACACAGTGAGAACTTCATCAAAGAAAGAGAAAGTATAAGAAACTGCCAAACAGAAGTCAGAGAGATGAAAAATACAATAACTGAACTGAAATATACACAAGAGGGGTTTGACAATAGACTAGATGAAGCAGAAGAGAGGATCAGTTATCTAGAAGACAGGGCAGTGGAATTCACCCAAAGAGAGCAGCAAAAAGAAAAAATAATTTTAAAAAGTGAAGATAGCTTAAGGGACTTATGAGACAACATCAAGTGGAATAACATTCACATTATCGGGGACCCAGGAAAAGAAGAGAGAGAGAAAGGGGCAGAAAACATAGTTGAAGAAATAATGAATGAAAACTTCCCTAACTTGGGAAAGGAAACAGACATCCAGATCCAGAAAGCCTAGAGAGTTCCAAATAAGATGAATCCAAAGAGATCCACACCAGTACATATTACAATTAAAATGCCAAAAGTTAAAGATGAAGAGAGAATCTTAAAAACAGCAAGAGAAAAATAACTTGTTACATATAAGGAAACCCCCATAGGACTATCAGCATATTTTTCAACAGAAACTTTGCAGGCCAAAGAAGTGGAACAATATATTCAAAGTGCTGAAAGGAAAAAACTTCCAACCAAGAGTATTCTACCCAGCAAAATATTATTTAGAATTGAAGGACAGATAAAGAGTTTTCTAGACAAGCAAAAGCTAAAGGAGTTCATCAACACTAAACTGGCCTTACAAAAAAATGTTATGGGGACTTCTTTAAGCTGAAATGAAAGTGCACTAGTTAGAAACAGGAAAACATGTGAAAATATAAATCTCACTGGTAAAGGTAAATATATAGGAAAGGTAGTGGATTAACCACTCATAAAGCTAGTATGAAGACTAAAAGACAAAAGTAGTAAAAATAACTATAACTGTAATTAGTTAAGAGATACACAAAACAAAAAGATGTAAAATGTGACATTAAAAACATAAAAATTGAGGGAGGCAGTAAAAATGTAGAGTTTTAGAATTCATTCAAACTTAAGTTGCTATCAACTTAAAATAGACTGTTACATGTGAGCCTTATGGTAACTACAAAGGAAAAACCTATGGTAGATACAAAAAGATAATGAGAAAGGAATCTAAGCATAACACCAAAAACGGTCATCAAACCACAAGGGAAGAGAGCAAGAGAAAAAGAAAGGAACAGGGAGGAGCTCCGAAACAGCCAGACACAATTAACAAAATGGCAATAAGTACATATCGATCAATAATTACTTTAAATATAAATGAATTAAATTCTCCAATCCAAAGACATAGAGTGGCTAAATGGATAAAAAAATAAATAAGACCCATCTATATGTTGCCTACAGGAGCATCAGTTCAGATATATGGACACACACAGACTGAAAGTGAAGGGATGGAAAAAGATGTTCAATTCCAATGAAAACCAAAAGAAAGTTGGGGTAGCTATACTTATATTAGACAAAAGAGCCTTTAAAATGAAGATTGTAATAAAAGACAAAGAAGGGCATTATATGATAAAGGAGTCAATCCAACAAGAGGATACAACATTTGTAAATATTTATGCACCCAATATAGGAGCACCTAAATATATAAAGCAAATATTAACAAATCTAAAGGATGAAATACAATAATAGTAGGGGACTTCAATACCCCACTTACATCAATGGATAGATTATCCAGACAGAAAATCAATAAGGAAACATAGGCCTTTAAATGACACATTAGACCAAATAGACAATAAATATATACAGAACAAAGAAGAAAACTGGAAAAATCACAAATATGTGGAGATTAAAAAACATGCTACTGAGCAACCAATGGGTCAAAGAAAAAATTAAAGGAGGAATAAAAATACCTTGAAACAAATGAAAATGGAATTACAATATACCAAAATCTATGCAGCAAAAACAGTTCTAAGAGGGAATTTCATAGTGATATAGCCCTACATCAAGAAAGAAGAAAAATCTCAAATAAACAATCTAACTTTACAGCTAAAGGAACTAGAAAAAGAACAAATGAAACACAAAGTTATTAGAAGGAAGAAAATAACAAAGATCAGAGTGGAAATAAATGAAATAGAGACTAAAAAGATCACAGAAATAGTCAATGAAACTAAGAGCTGGTTCTTTGAAAAAATAAACATAATTGACAAACTTTAGCTAGACTCACCAAGAAAAAAAGAGAGAGGACGCATATAAGTAAAATCAGAAATGGAAGAGGAGAAGTTACAACAGATAACACAAAAATACAAAAGATCATAAAAGACTACTATGAACAATTATATACCAACAAATTGAACAACCTAGAAGAAATGAATAAATTCCTAGAAACAACCTTCCAAGACTGAATCATGAAGAAATAGAAAATCAGAATAGACCAATTACTAGTAAGGAAATTGAATCAGTAATCAAAAGCCTCCCAAGAAACAAAATTCCAGGACCAGACAGCTTCACTGGTGAATTCTACCAAACATTTAAAGAATATTTAATACCTGTCCTTCGAAAACTCTTCCAAAATATTGAAGAAGAGGGAATGCTTCAAAACTCTTTTTATAAGGCCAGCATTACCCTGATACCAAAACCAGACCAGTACACCACAACAAAAGAGAATTACAGGACAATATCCCTGATGAACATAGATTCAAAAATCCTCAACAAGATATTAGCAAACCAAATTCAACAATACATTAAAAGGATCATACACCACGATCAAGTGGGATTTATTCCAGGGATGCAAGGCTGGTTCAATATCCACAATTCAATCAACATGATATATATACCATGTTAACAAAAAAAAGGATAAAATCATATCATCATCTCAACAGATGCAGAAA